GGTAATTAGGGTTAAGTGACTTGTCCAGGGTCACACAGCTAGTGAGTGTTGTGTGTCTGAGGTCAGATTTGAACTCAGGTCCTCTTGACTACAGGGCCGTTGCTCTGTCCACTGCACCACCCAGCTACCCCCAAGATGGCTCAGTTTTGAGCATGATATATGGAGTCTTATCTAATTCAAAGTACCCAGTAGGCAGCAGCCAATTCAGGAGAGAGGCTAGGGCTGTGTTAGCTGGATACCGACAGATATACACGTGCATGGAAATGAGAATTAAGCCCATGGAAGCTCACCAAGAGAGAGAATGAAAGAAAGAAGAAAAGAGGGTCCAGGACAGAACCTAGCCTGTAGCTAGGAGGTATGACCTGGACAATTATCCAGAAAAGGAAAGGTCACACAAGTAGGAGGAGAACCAAGAAAAGGAGGGAGGAAGTGGGAATAAACATTTATTAAGCAAGCATCTTTATACTATTATCTAATTTGATCCTTCCACCAACCCTGGGAAGTAAGTGCTACTGTTATCTCCATTTTATAGTTGAGGAAATGAAGGCAGACAGAGGTTAAGTGATTTGCCCAGGATCACACAGCTAGTAAGCTTCTGAGGCCAGATTCGAGCTTGGATCTTCCTGACTCCAGGCCCAGCACTCTGTCCACTTCACTACTTAGCTGGTCTCTCAAAATCCAGAGAGGAGAGTGTATGGAGAAGGAGGAGAGGGTGATTGATGGGGTTAAATGCTACAGAGAGGTTACAGAGGGTGAGGATCAAGAAAAGACCATTCAGTTTGGTAACTGAGAAATCACTGGTGACTATGGAGAGAGAAGCTTCCATTGTGTGATGACATTTGGAACCAGTTGCCAAGAGCTGAGGAGTGAGTGAGGAGAAGTAAGGCAAAGGGTATAACTAACTTTTTCAAATTTGGCTGAGAAAAGAAAGAGAGATAAAAGGCAATAGCTTGAGGGGCTGGTAAGATGGAGTGAGAGTTTTTTAAGGATGGAGAAGTCTTGGATGTGTGTGGGCAGAACAGAAGAAATGAGTAGATAAGGAAAGACGACAGATTAGTGGGAGAGGTTGTGACTATGAATATTGTGAAATATATGGGACCTGTCCTTCAGTCTTTGATCCTGAATGTGTGATTTCATTGAGGGATTGGGCAGCTCCCTTTACTTTAAAGTGACTCTTTCTACCAATGGAGATCTTCAGCTCTTCTGAAATTTATGCTCAGATTTGTCTGGGGGAATTAAGAGGTTAAAAGACTCCCAGAAGAGGATCATCCAGCCAGATGTGTCAAAGGCATGATTTGAACCTGAGTCTTCCCTAGTGTGAGGCCAGCTACTAGATTGTGCCACCTTTCTATGCATAAGAAAGATTCATCAGGCAAGGTTAGATTAGAGTCAGAGGAAGAGTGGAGGTAGAAATACCTGCTAGGAGCTTCTTAAAGTAGTCCAGGTGAGTGTATAATGAAAGCAACTGTGGGAGAAAGAGAGGAGGTGAGAAATGTTGCAATGTAGAATTAACAGCATTTGGTAACTGGTGGCATGTGAGAGGTGAAGGGAAAGGAAGAGTCAAAGAAAAAATTAAGTTTCTGAATTTGGGTGTCCTGGGGGAAGAATGGTGTCACATACAGAAATACGCACATGTGATACATATGTGTAAGCCAGGTCAATCCACCAGAGATCAGAATACCATGATGGGAACTCAATTCTACCTCTCACCTAGTTCCTACTAGTTAGACATTGGTAGATCATCCTAGGTCATCCTGAGCACGCTGGGTCCAGTAGGGAGGTGCCTCCAGCTTTCAGTGATCAGCTGGGGAGCAAGAGAGCAGTGGTCAGTTGTGACAAATTGCCCTTGGAGGCCTGAGGTTCATGCTGGAATTTTGCAGAGACTATCTCCAGATGGGATTTCAAAGATTTGCTCAAGTGTATGCAGAGTATGGGGACAGACTCCCTCCTCCTTTGGGTATTTAATTACCCTTCTGACTCAATGGGTGATAAGAAATCCTGGGTGATAACAAAATTCCAAGAGGCTGTTGTCCTCCCAGACACCAAGAGCCTCAAGAAGCGTGAGGGCTAGTGGGGAGAGCCCACCAGGAGCGGCCGCTTCTCCAGATGGTTTCTGAGAAGCAGAACTTCCCCTGAGAACAAAAGAGGGGAAAGGTGGAGCAGCTGCTGAGACTGGGAAGATGAACGGACAAGGTCAGCTGACAGGAAGAGTGACCAAGAGGAGCTGCCAGCCTCAGAAAAAAAGAAGGCTCAGTCTTCTTGAGGCTGTCAAGAGAGTATGTGGGAAAACCAGAGTCTGCATGATGGGAGCACCTTAGCTAGGAACCTAAGTAAACAAGGTGTGGGAGCTATATAGTTACTAGAAGGAAGCCTGACCACAGTTGGCCCATTAACCAACCAAGACAGACCTGACCATAGGAACAGGCTGGAAAACAGACCCAGACTGTCCAGAACTGACCGTGGAAATGGGTCATCATGCCTTGCATATAGTAGGTACTGTTGGATTGGACTGAATTGAGATTTTGCTTATACAACTAAAAGAGGACAGATCTAGGAAAGGCTCATGCTTGCACCAAGGGAGAAAGTCACAAGGATTTTCTGAGACCAACATTAATTATTGTTCCATCAACTCTCATTTCTAGAGCTATTTAAGGCAATATAAGGACTTCTGTCCAGTGAGGATCACTGTGGGAGGACCTGAGATCAGGAAAGAGAATCCGAGACCCAAATAGAGGTTCCCAAAATGGGGGATACCACCCACTGGGGGGTGCTGGAACAATGGAGGTGAGCAGTAGTAGCCTCAGGTGCAATTCGAGGTTGTTGAATAAAAATAAGGGGGTGGTGGAAGCATAAGGAAAGAAAAGAAGAGAAGAAAATTTTGAAAAACCATTTGTACATGTTTTATCTGTTGTGTAACAGAGTTAAAAGTCCTAGTGATTACATTATTGTCCAAATAAACACTCAAAATGCATATAACCAATCAGCGGCCAAGTCTGCCAACAGGCCTTAACAAGCAAGTGTTGGCAGGCAAGCATGTTGTGCATTATCAGGAAGTCCAGCATGCAGCCACAGGAATATGTGCATGTAATGATTTGCTTACAATACAGTACTATATAGTTATATGACACAATACTGCATCATCAGAATTTCAATGCAGGGAAAAAATCCCACAAATTACAATAAATTATTAAATTTAAGATGTGTCATTTTAAAATACATATAATATATTATATTTTTGAAATTATGCAAATTTCAAAAAGACCATTAAAGGGTTAAAGGAAGTAGATTCCCAGGGGGTGCTGAATAATTTTTTTTAAAGGGGGCAGTAGGCCAAATAAGTTTGGGAACCTCTGCAGTAAGGCAATAGCCCTTCTAGCCCAGGTTCAGAATTCCAGGGAAAGCCAAGACAGGGGGAAGGAAAGGCCTAAAGCCCACAGGGAAAAATCTGTATTCCGAGTACAAGACAAATAATAGCTATAATTTCTCCAACCCCTAGCAATTGTAGACCTGGGTAGACACCAGGTGGGGAGAGAATGAGCTTAGCAGGTGAACATAGCTGGGGACTGATGCATGCTGGAGAAGACAGCAAGAATAGTGTTAGTCCCAGGCCCCACAGGGACAGGAGATCCCACAAGGAGAGTGTGAGGGTTTGGCAGATCCAGGAATGTGAATGGGCAGCCACTATGGGGAGAGAAAGGCTCACACAACCATAGCAAAGCCCAGTGAGTGACCCCCAGATAGGTCACACAGGGGAGAACCAGATCCTGCTGAAACCCCTAAGATGGACCCTAGGAATTCAAGTGAAGTGTTGACATGTGTCCCCCAAGGCACTGGGCAAAGGTGGGGAGGACATTTTGGAAGATCATCCCCCAGAGATCTGGCAAGACTAGGACGCCTGGATGATAATCATCAGCATGGAGATGAATAAAATAACCTGCGGAGGCTGTCAAGAGAATTCCTGCATGAGGCCAGGGACTGGAGGAGATGACCTCCCCCATCTTTCCCATCTCTAAGATTCTCAAGTTCTGGAGCACTGCTGTTCCACTCTAGGCACATTTTAGAAAGGACGTTGACAAATTGGAGCATGTCTGCTAGAGGGCAACCAGGAGAGTGAGCAGATGGAGAAAGGCAGGGGAACATTTAGCCTGGAGAAGGCTCAGGGACAACAGAAGAGAGGAGTCATCGGGAAGAGGGATGAGTCGTGCTTGACTCGGCTCAATTGGGCTGAACCAGGAGCGGTGGGATACACTGCAAAGATACAGGCTTAGGCCTCACGTCAGGGAAAACGTCCTCAAAATGAGAGCTCTCCCAAGTGGAATGAATGGGCTGCCTCGGAAAGTACAGAGCTCTCGTTCTTTGCGGTTTTCCTAGAGGAGGCTGCTGGCTGACCAGGAAGGGAATCTCAGCACGATGTCCAATGGCACTCGATACACCCGGGGCCCCAGCTCGGGCATCTTTAGCAGCGGCTACTTCCTGGCATTTTCTGATGGCAGCCCAGTGCGGGGTGGGGATGAGATCAGGGCCAGAACAGGCAGAGGCGGGCACAAGCCCGGGTAACTGGGGGTGGGGCACAGTGGGACAGAGTCTGGTGCGTCGTGACATCCCAGGTCCGACCCCCCGGCGGGAGTGTCCGGCCCCCAGCTTCCCCGAAGCAGAAATGACCAAGCCTTGGCGCTGCCCTGCTTCTCCCTGGGGACCTACCCGGCACCCTCCCAGGCTGAAGTTCCGGCCGTCCCCCTACAGTGGGACCCCTCTCCCCAACCTCAACAGGCTGCCCCTCCTCTTCCCAAGATGCTCTGCTCCCGGCTCAGTCACGGGTATCTCGCGCTGGAGCTGGGGGTGGGAATGGGGGTGGGGACCGAGTAAAGCGGAAGTATCCCTGGGGAGGTGGAGGTGGCAGGGACGCCTCCCTGCCCGACTGAGGCTGGGGTGGCCCCAGGAGCCCTCCCTCCCACTCTCTCCGTCCCGGCCCCCTCCCCCACCTCCCCGCTCCCCTCCAGCCCGGGGCCAGACAGGCAGCAGGACAGCAGACAGCGCCAGGGAGCCGCCAGGGTTCGTACTGGTCACTGCAGGCGCGGGACGACTCCTCGGTCAGTGTGGGCGCCACTGCAAGGCAAGGGGCAAGGGGCAACCAGGGTTGTCGGGGCGTCCGGGACCTAGAAGTCTCCTACTCCAACCCGCAGAGTCCCGGGAATCTTCCCTCCAACAAGAGGGCCCACTTCGGCTTGGGGAAGCCGACCATTCCCTGAGTCAGCCCACCCAGCTGTTGGACAGCTCTCTTTCTTCTCTTGGTGTTCCAAGTCTACCTCCAGGCCACTGTCCTCCAGTTCTGCCCTGGGGGGTCAGGCAGAACAAGTCTGAACTCTCTTGCCAAAACAGATTTGGTCAGGGGACCTGGGTTTTTGTCCTGCTCTGCTATTATGGTTACCTTTATAACTCTGGGCAAATCACTTTAACCTCTCTGGGCCTCAGTTTCCCAGTTGTAAGATCAAGGGTTTTGATGAAACAATCCCCCAAATTCTCTCCAGTTCAGAACCCTAAAATTCTAGCAATGATTAGATCCAGGGCCCCTGGAACTTTAGGGGGTGGGAATGGGGTCAGGTCTGAGTTTTGAGGAGGATCTCAGATGGGTACTGAGAAGGCTCCAGGGTTCATGTGTAGGTTTTCCTGACAGATCTTTCAGACTGCTGGTCAGTAAGCAGAAGGCACAATGGCCATTTTGGGGCCCTTGATCCTGGCCTTGGCCACCTGCCTAGCCATTGCCCGCCCCCCCAACATCATTCTGATCTTTGCCGATGACCTGGGCTATGGGGACCTGGGCAGCTATGGCCACCCCAGCTCATCCACACCCAACTTGGACCGAATGGCAGCCAGTGGCCTCCGCTTCACTGACTTCTATGTGCCTGTCCCACTATGTACCCCATCTAGGTGAGGCTGATGAACCCCAGGACCCTGCCTTTTGAACCTCACTTCTTCAACCCTCAGCTGACCCACCAACTGTGCCTTCCCCACCATCTAACCCCAGTTGCACCTCCATTAACTTCTGTGCCCCCCTCCCAGCAAGCCTCCCTTCCCCCAGAACTCCTAATTGCCTCTTATTTCTTCCTCTCTCTGCCCACCCCCACCCATGGACACACAACTTTCTCGATCCTTTTTCTCTCTGCAGAGATCTTCTCTCACCAGAGACCCCCCAAGGATTCTCTAATCCCTATTCATTCCTTCCAGGGCAGCACTGTTGACTGGACGGTACCCTGTACGTTCAGGGCTCTACCCTGGTGTCCTATACCCTGGCTCTCGAGGTGGGCTCCCCCTGGATGAGGTGACCATGGCTGAGGTCCTGGCTGAGAGCGGCTACCTCACTGGGATGGCTGGCAAGTGGCATCTGGGTGTGGGGCCCAATGGCTCCTTCTTGCCCCCACATCAGGGATTTCACCGCTTCCTAGGAATCCCCTACTCCCACGATCAGGTGTGGGGTCAGGGGCTGGGGCCAGTGGGCAGATTGATAAATCAAGGGGATGGGAGGGAGCAAATTGAGGCTGAAGTAAGCAGACAAAGAATCCAGGGTAGAACTGTGGAGATTGGGGACTGAAGGGGCAACGGATCAGGGCTAGAAATAAATGGGCAGGAGCTGGGACCATGTGGTAAAGAATCCTACCCACTCTCCCCCTCATCCCTTTGCCCTGTGCCACCACAGGGCCCTTGCCAGAACCTGACCTGCTTCCCACCAGCCACCCTCTGCTTTGGAGGCTGTGACCAGGGCGTCGTCCCCATTCCGCTGATGGCTAACCTGTCAGTGAAGGAACAGCCCCCCTGGCTGCCTGGGTTGGAGAAACAGTATGTGGCCTTTGCCCAGAACCTCATGGTGGATGCTGCCCGCCAAGGCCGGCCTTTTTTTCTGTACTATGCCTCCCACGTGAGTGACTTCCCATCATCCCAGCCCCTGCCCTGTGACACTGAGCTGATCTTTCCTTACTCCAACCTTTGCTGGGCTTGGGGAGGGTGGGAGGAGGTTGCCCAAATCCTTGCCCCAGAGACAAAGCAGAGATACAGCTGTTTCTTTCACATGCACACCTGGCTGTGACCCTGTTTCTGCCTGCAGCACACCCACTACCCCCAGTTCAGTGGGAAAACCTTTGTGGGGCGTTCTGGCCGGGGACCATTTGGGGATGCTTTAATGGAGCTGGACTCGGCTGTGGGGGCACTACTGAATACTGTGGAGAGCCTTGGACTAATCGAAGAAACCCTGGTCCTTTTCACAGCGGATAATGGGTACAGGGGCTGGGAAGGTGGTCAGATAGACATTTGTCATTGTCATGATGGTGTCTCTCTTGCCCTCACACCGCCCCCCCTCCATGTTTGTCCCTGTCTCTATAGCCCTGAGACCCTGCGTATGTTCCGGGGTGGCTCCTCCGGCCTTCTCCGGTGTGGAAAGGGGACAACCTATGAGGGTGGTGTTCGAGAACCTGCACTGGCCTTCTGGCCAGGCCGCATTGTGCCAGGTCAGTCTCTGACCAGCCAGCTCTCCAGGCTGACCCTTGGGCAGAAACAACCCAGAGAATAAGGGTAGACTGACACCCAACACTCGAGCCCTGGCTCCTTCTCCATGAGACTCTCCTGACTCCCGTACCTTGGGTCCATTCTACTGGGGGTTGACCCTTCCAGTTTTGCCCATCTCCACTCCCCTCCCACTCACAGGGGGTTCTGGAGATCATCTATTTTCATCTGATCCTGAACCCTTCTACAACCTCCGGACTTGGCTCAACCACCTCCCGTGACAGGGAGCTCACTACCTGATGAAGACCATTCCACGGCCTCTTTAACCTTTCCCTCCCCCTCTCAACCTCTCATATGTCAAGATCTGGCCTATGTGTCACTTCACTGGAGGGAGGGGAGGGAAAGGAGGAAGACTCTGCCTCCTGACTCCTCCTACATGGAGGACTGAGAAGGGCTGTTAAAAGCTTGTGACAGTCCTAAAGAAGGAGGAAGCACAGAGTCCATTTTTCAGATGAGAATCCTGAGGCTCAGATTGGGGAGGGACTGGCCCGAGGTCACACAGCTAGTAAGGGCTGAAGCCAGCATTTGAACCCAGATCATCTGACTCCAAGGCACATGCTACCTCTTCTAAGGACATTGATTGTCCATGGCCTCCAGATGTCAACCTCCCCCAATCCCACCCCATGCCTCCCTAAAGGGAAAGAGGCTCAGCAGAGAAGTGAGAAAAGGCATTTCATCTACCAGCCTGGCAGGCCATGTAAGAGGTGCTCTCTGCCAGAGGCTATCCTGATTGGCTCCTCCACACAGGGGTCTCCCATGAGCTAGCCAGCGTCCTGGACCTGCTGCCCACTGTGGCCGCTCTGGCAAGAGCCCAGCTACCCAATGTCACCCTCGATGGAGTGGACCTCAGCCCCGTTCTCCTGGGCACAGGCAAGGTGAGAGTGCTGGGACCCTGGGTGGTCTTCCTTGCTGGTCTCCAAGCCCCAGATCCCTTGACCTCTATGTCCTTGTGTCTCCAGAGCCCACGGAAGACTCTTTACTTCTACCCCCCATTCCCTGAGGAGACCCAAGGTGTCTTTGCTATTCGGCATGGGAAGTACAAGGCACATTTCTTCACCCAGGGTAATTCTAGCTACTCACAACAACTTGAGACAACTGCCCCCCACCCCAACTCAAGACTCAAAGAGTTTCTGGCACTCAGGGACACAGCCACTGATGGAGATGGATTGCCTGGGTCCTTCATTGTCCCATCTTCCCTGCCTTTCCCAGGGGCCCCCACCCTCCCATATCCCTATCCCCTTCCAGGGCCAGCTGACCAAGTCCCCTGGATCCCTCCCTGGAGTCCACCTTTGGTTGTCCTCTGTACCTTTTATGATCCTACCCCCAGACCACTCCAGGATTTTCTCCTCCATCCCCACCCTCATCACTATCTAGGTTCTACACACAGTGATATGGTTGCTGACCCAGCCTGCCAAGCCCTCACCCCACTGACTCCCCACGAGCCACCACTGTTGTATGACCTGGAGACGGACCCTGGTGAGAACTATGAACTCCTGAGCCACGGTCCCAAGGAAGAGATTCAAAAAACCATTGAAACCCTGAAGGAGATGAAGCTACTCAAGGCCCAGTTTGATGCTGCTATGACTTTTACGACAAGTGAGATTGCCAAAGGCCTAGACCCAACTCTGGAACTTTGCTGCCGAGCAGGCTGTTCCCCCTGGCCAGAATGTTGTAACTGTCCTGGCCCTCAACATGACACTCCCTACAAATGAATGCATGGACCTCAGAGTGACTTCATGGTCTTTCAGTCTCCTCTGTGGCCCCACTGACCACTAATCCTTAAAACTGCCATTCAAGGACTAATCTCTGACTTGTGAGTAGGGCCATGCATCCAGCATGTATCCTCTCTGCACAGTCTCAAGCTCAGGCCACTTCACTAGATACAGAACATGTACCAAGATTTTGGAGGGGAGGGGTGTCACTGGCCAGTGGCTCAGATATCCCAGCCAGGCTCTTCTCTGTGCAGCAAGATGAGGTAACAATTTTCACGCCACCCTGGGATTCCTAAGGGTCGGTTATTCCTTCTGAAATCTCTATGTAGAGAATCCTAATATCTACCCCTGTCTGAGTGGTGATGCTTTGGCTTATGGAATACAGATCAAACAAGTGGGTTCATTGTCATTCATGTACATTTGTGGGAGGCTAGATAAAAGCACAACCTCGAGGTCCTCAGCGTTTCCTGTAAAAATAAACTCTTTACTGAGATATTAATACAAGCATTAAATTAAGTGCTAATTATGAATTTTCCAGTAAAATTTAAGGGGGAATACTATTTGGAGCAAGATTTAAATAAATATCAACATCAAAGCACAATTTGATGCCTTTCCCTTTTCTTCTCACCTCTTTCAAAATTCCTTTTGAATGTTACCTGCCATGCCTGATCACTGTCAGGAAAAGCTGAAACTTATGTTCTAGGCATTACCTGCCCACAGATTCTCTTTCTGCACACACTGGCTCCTGCTCTCCTTCAGTAGTTTTGGGGAGAGTGTGATGTTATTCCTTAACTATGTGCCATATTGTTCTCTCTCAAAATCTTCAACTCTACTGCCTCTACCATACCTGCACAAAGAGGTTCCTTTCTTCCCTGTGGATAGAATGGGAAAACCCACACCATCAGCTCTCCACTATTAAAAGATGATTTTTTTTTGTAGTGCTAAGAGTGATGTATTGAGAATAGACATAAATAACTCCATTTTTTTCTGTATTTGCTTTTTTTGCTATGAGTTGCCCCAGCACAAGCTGTGGGGCCAGTTTGTAATAAGCAGAATTCCTCCATTATCTTGCTTTATGACTGTAAAAAGAGGACTTGATGGCCCCAAGATATATGCTCCTTCTCTTTATGTTATCTGACCAAGCTATGATGGTGCCTTAAAACTAGAGGGAATGATATGCTAAGAAGAGCACACTAGTAATAAACAACCTCCTTCCACGACCAACCTGTCTCTTACCTGAGGCAGCTGGGTATCACGAGGGATAGAGCAGTGGGCCTGGAGTCAAACCTGGCCTTCGACACTCATTGCCTGTGCAACCATGGACAAATCACTTAAAATCTGTTCACCTCAGTTTCATCAACTGTAAAATAAGGATAACAATAGCACTAATCTCTTAGGATTCTCTTAAGAATCCAATAAGATATTTATAAAGTGTTTAGCACATTGCCTGGAACATAGTAGGCACTTTTAAAATGCTTGTTTTCTTCCTTCTTTTCATCTACCCTGCTTCCCCCTCTCCACACACACACATGATCAAGAAGAATGTTCTCTCTTTTATCTCTCTCTCTCAGATAAGCTTGACTAAGAGAGCAGTATAACAGTCATCTGCTGGACTGTGACACACACGTATCCAGCAGCTTCCGGCGCTGACTCACTCTGAGTGAATAAACCACAGTTCAGTTTCCACATTGGTCATTCTTGGCTGCACCTCGTTAATGGACAACTGGATGGTTTGGCCACACCACATTCTCCACATCTTCTTCCTTTATGGACACTTGAGAACATAGCCTAAAGTGGTGCCATATTCCTTGAGTTCTTGTTCCCATTGCCTTAGCTAAGGAAAACTCTTTCCTATTTAGCAAGCCTTTTGCAAGTATGAGGTGAATTAGCATTCTTTGCATGTAATCTCATAAGGTCATTTACTAAGCAGGCTGACTATTCTCACTTCCACCAAGACTTTTTAGAGAAGGAAGTGGCCTTTTTTCCTCTGTGCCTTTTTGACATCTTGGACAAAAACAAGCAAATTTAAACACTTGGATATGGTAATTTCTTGTAGGAACATAGTGGAAGGAAAAGACTCCCAAGTTATCAGTGGGCTGAGTTGAGTGGGTCCTTTAGGAAACCCATTCCAATTACATAACTCACAACTAGCTATGCTAAAAAGATGAATGAGGGAAGGTTGGAGTCAGCAGCAGAATTTCAAAGGTCTTTGAGTGAGAAGAGAGAAGGGAAAGGGTGATATGATGCTAAGTGGCTCAGGGGATAGAGCACATAACTTGGAATCAGAAAGACCTAAGTTCAAATCTAGTTTCAGGCACTTACTATCTGGGTGCTGCTGGACAAGTTGCTTAACCACTGTTTGCCTCAGTTTTCTCATCAATAAAGTGGGGATAATAATAACACCTTGCTCCTAAAGTTATCGTGAAGAAAAAATGAGAAGTCTACCTATATAAATGCTGGCTATTAATATAAATGTCAAGCAGAAGGGGCTGCTTTACCTTAGCCCAGGGATGGGGAACCTGCCCTAGCCATATTGAGTGGAAGATGGCAGCCATTCCATCCATTCTCTATCTCCAGCTTCTCTCTCCCCTCATATCATGTATCTGTTCCTGCCTTAACTAGATATAACATGAATATAGAGCCTATTTTATCTGCTGAATTCACGTAATAAAGTTCTGCGCTCTATTCTTAATTATTAAAAGCAAGTGAATTGGACCCTATTCTCTTTCTATCAAAAAAAAAAGATACTGGATTTTCTTTTTACTTTTGTGTGATTCTTGATTAATGCTTGCTTGTAAGACAATGTACTTAATTAGAGAAAGAAAGATTAAATAACTGGGCAATTTTGAGACCCAAGACCTAATGAGGGACTGAAGGCAACTCCCTGTGCTCTGCAGGCTAATGTGGAGAGTCTTGAGGTACCTCTAGTACCAAGGACTGGTCAGAGGAAGAAGAGCTCAGCCGGAGTGTTTGGAAGCTCCGCACTGAGGCATGCAGAGGGGAGTCTCAGGTGAACAGTGGGTGGGTGTGTTCCCTTCCTAGGATGAGTGTCTAGGATGTGATGGAGTGCCGCCTGACACTTGTCAAGCCTGATGATCAATACCTGTTTGTGAGACAAATGACATCATCTGAAACAATCCATGAGCTGTTGATAGGGATAGCCATGTGCTGGGCAAAAAGCAGAAGGCATTTCAAGTCACGGCTGAAGCAAGGTTAGATGGAGAAGAAGGATGTGGGCAGTGAGCATCTGGTGAAGGAGATACAGTTGGACAACAGCATTTTCCTTTCTTGACCAAGTCTTAAAGACACAGGATTGATGGATTCTTAGTCCCAGCAGACAAGAACATATCAGGGCCAAGGAGAATACATTTTCCTGGAGACTTGCCTGATCAAGAGGTCCTAAAAGGGCAAGTGGAAGGGGAAGGGACAAACAGACCACTAAATAACTGCTAATCCAGGTACCATGGACAGAAGCAAATGCAGCCTAGGAAAGAGATTAGCAACAGAGGGGACCAGGAAGTCACAGGAGACAATATACAGTCAAAGGAGCAGTGATAATAATCATGGTCCCTGATAGTTACGAAAGCACAGAGTACAGGCAATAAGCAAAGTGATCTGGGGAATCTGAACGCAGGGGAAGCAACGCACACTCATCATTATTAGGGACTTTAGATAGCTGGAATACAATGGTAAAAGCACAGCACAGACCCACGGAATTAAAAAGGACCAAGGCCATCTATGCCAACCTAGCTCTAGAGAGGAATTTTCTCCCCAGCCTCCTCCTAAAGATGACCATCCAACCTCTGCCTGCCTTCCTCTAGTGATGAAGAACTCACCATCATACAAACAGCCAATTTTCCCATTGGATAGCTCAAAGAATTTTTCCTTATATTAAACAGAGTTGTTGTGAGGGTCAAATGACAGAATGTGTGTGAAGTGCTAAAATGCTATAAATACATGTGTGTGTGTGACCTGCATAGTTATGATACATGTAATGTGAAGTATTATTATTATTATTATTCTCCTCCTCTACTGCAGCACCACACAGAACAATTCGAATCCCTTTCTCCATAATTTCCCTTCAGGAACCTGAAGACACTTATGTCAGTAGAATGGAGGCTCCTTGAGGGTAGAAATTGTTTCATTCATTGCCTTTGTCCAATGCTTAGCCCAGTGTAAGTGCTTCAGAAATATAGGCTGATAGATTGATTGTGTGTGTCCTTGCTAAGTGATCTCACAAAGCAGATCTCCATCCATTAACCATTCTGAACTCTCTCTTCCTCAAATGAGATAGCCAGAACTGTGGGTGATATTCTCAATGGGAAGGGGCAGCTAGGTGGCACAGTGGATCAGCCCTGAAGTCAGGAGGACCTGAGTTCAAATCAGGCCTCACAAACGCTTGAGACTTACTAGCTGTGTGGCCCTGGGCAAGTCACTTAACCCCAATTGTGAAAGAAAGAAAGAAAGAAAGAAAGAAAGAAAGAAAGAAAGAAAGAAAGAAAGAAAGAAAGAAAGAAAGAAAGAAAGAAAAGAAAAGAAAAGAAAAGAAAAGAAAAGAAAAGAAAAGAAAAGAAAAGAAAAGAAAAGAAAAGAAAAGAAAAGAAAAGAAAAGAAAAGAAAAGAAAAGAAAAGAAAAGAAAAGATATTCTCAATGAGATGTGACCAGGGCAGTGAAGCTCTCACTACCCTTGGGCTAGATACTTTGGCTATCCTCATGCTGCTATATCACCTTCAAATCCGGCCTCAGACATGACACTTACTAGCTGTGTTACCCTGGGCAAGTCATTTAACCCTATTGCCTAGCCGGAAAAAAAAAAAAAGATCATATCACCTTCTATGGTCCTGTTGTTGTCCTGCTGCCTCCTACTGGACTTATGGTACAATCAGACCCCAGTGGATTTTTTAAAGTTTAGACATTTCATTTTGACATACCAGTAACTTTGGCACAGTCTAAGGAGTATTTATTAAGCACCTGCTCTGTTCCAGGCACTAAGCTAAATGCTTGCGATACAAGGACATCCCCTCCACAAAAGGGGGGGAACCACTCCTGCCTTCACTGAGTTTACATGATGCTGGGGAGAATACAACATATGCATGAATAAAGAAATAAAGCTGAATTCATTAGCCGAGGGAAACCAGCACTGACTGGGGGCATCAGGAAAGCCTCCTCAAGGGAGGGAGGACCTGAGATGAGCTTTGAAGGAAGCCCAGCATCAGCAGAGGTGGCACTAAGGAGGGACAGTGTCCCAGGTGTGAAGGGCCGCCAGGGCCAGGAAACAAGAAATGCCTTCATTCCCAAGTTCAGAGGCCTGGAAGAAGACTGGCGGGGCTAGAATATACAGTATGTAAAGGTGAACAATCTACAACAATCCCAGAAAGGAGGGCTGGAGCCAGACTGTTTGGCAGGGAGGGAGGGAGGAGACATTAAGTGAGGAGCCTGAATTTTATCCTCATGGTAATAGGGAGTCATTGAAAATTCTTGAGCTGAGACAATGATATAATCAGATCTCAGCTTTTGAAAGATTTGTTTGGCAGATGTAGGGAAGATAGATTGGAGAGGAGGGAGACTAGACAGTCTAGGTCAGAGGTGAAAACTACCTG